ACTAGACCTTTAAATAAACGTATAACTGTTCTTTACTGCACACACAGTAAATGTAAACTGCTTTATTCTGTTTTACCTGTGTTCTACGAAGTGTAACAAAAGTGACAAACTATGTATTTGATGTGAAAAATGTAAAAATGCATACATGATCTATGACAAATTATTCACAAGAAATCTGTAACATGCTATGTTGTCATGGCAACAGCATGTATAAACAGAGACGATGCCGGCTGGATATATATAATAATTCAATGCTTGTTATTCACTTATTTGGTACTTTGCTCCCAGAGATTGTTAAAAGACTGAATTTAAACTGAATAACAGAAAATTGTGATATTTTTGTCTGTATCTCAAATGGCAATCACCCGTAATGTCAGTATGTGCTCATATCCAATCAACCAAGCATGAAATGCAAGATATATACTGAAGCTAAAATATTATTTTAACACTTTCGAATTTTGATTGCTTTTTTAAAATCTTCTTTTTTTTAAAATGTACATAGTAAATAAATAAACACTGAATCCAAAAAGGCAGTGATTGTTTTGATGTTTCAATTAGACAAATTGGACATATTTTGTTTGATGGGGTTTTGTAACTATTTGTTCTGCCCTAAAACCATGAAAAATTTATTGTAAATATTTAGCACTGTAAATTAGCCTACTCCCTCTCCCCAGGCAAATACTACTGGTAGTATTAACTGTAACTTTGGTGATAGAGTAAACAATGACCTGTCATGCACCACAACACACCCTACCCGGTATACACCACTGGCCATTCAACAGAGCACATCTTTTCACACAGCAGGTATACTTGACAACAATGCACTATATAGATACAAAGTTTTACAACTATGTTGCAGTTGAATGAGTATAAATGTCTGAAAAAAGGAGTCAATAACAATGCGCAATTCAGGGATAGCATCCCAGCTTTCTCAGTAACTTTCTCAACACACAGGACAGAGATCTAGCTAGCATCTATGGTATATCAAGGGGCACCTATTGCATAGTAAATTTAATGTACATAACTGTGCATTCAGGTGGGGTGCCTAAGCAGTTGCTTACATGCCTCCATTAAATTTTCTGTATTGCAATGAATTAATCTCTGTACTGCTCCTGTATAGAAAATTCAATGATTTTATAAAAATTATTTTAACAAAATTCACATTAGACATTAGAAAGGGATATAAGACAAAACATGAATATAAAGTACTAATTAATAAACTAAAAATTTTGTGTATATTTATACATTATATTAACTTTATTACGTGTCTCTAATGCAGCACACATTAACCACACATTATTGCAAAAAACAAACAAACATTATACTGGATGTATACTGGATAAATAAAATATGATTTTTTTTTACCAAAAACACACTTCTGTCATGCATTACTAATACAGCAAATATGGTACTAAACTTAAAGAAAAAGTTAATTTTGTGTTATAATTTGTATTGACAAATTTACAGATGAATTCAGTATTTATTTTCAATACCTTTATGTGTGTGGATTATTAGTTTGCACATGGTACATGTATCTGTATATGCAATTAACATACATGTATGCTTATGTTTTCATTTATCAATCAATACCAGTGTTCTAGCGCTAAAGCTGACATCTTAGCAAAATACTATTAGAGTTAGCTGCTAAATTTACACACAGATATAGTGTTTCCATTGTAGCCAAATAAAATGTGCCTGTTTTTTTAAAGCATGATGGAGGCTGAAATTATTTAAACAATAATAAATTCCCCACAGAAGGGTCTATGGTAAGATAATGTGTGAGGTGAAGATGTATTAAAACGTTTCAAATCCTGGTGCTGACAATGTCTATATATGGCTGACACACCTCTACTAAACTTTCCACTCAGTGTTGCCTAGCAGCTAGAGTGTTATGGTTCATTATATACATCATATCTGACAATTATCTGATGAATAAACAGGTAGGTCAAAGTTCAAATTGAAATGTACATGTACCAGTACTGCAATTTTTATTTTTCCATTGGAATGGATGATAAATGTATACAATGCACAAAAACACTGACAAGAAAAACAAATAGTGGCATGTCAAAGCTTATTAAAAAAGAAAGCAAAAATACACATGACTAAAAAAAATTTAAAATTTGGAAGGTCATCAAGTGACCTCCATATCTAGCTGTCCACCTTTATAACTTTTTTCTAAGATATTGGCCTAAAGGATTGATATAAAATTATTGCCAATGATAAAGCTGAAATGCTCATCACGGTTTATTTGATTGCAATTTCCCCAGTTTCCATAAATAGAATGTTTCTTTGTTGTTTATCTTCTATTTGACTTGTGTTACAGAGAAGACATACCGTACCTGTTCATTTTCTGGCAATTGAGTATGGTGTTTAAACATTTAAAGAGTCAATAGATTCTTAGTTTATTTTTCCACTACCTTTTATTACACAGTTGTCATATATTTAATTTCTTGAATGTATTCAAAATGCATTTTATACTTTTCCATCATTTTTTTTCAGTTTTGCTGACGTTATTGGTTCATGTGAATATTTAGTTCTGTGTCGTTAATAATTTATTTCATTTTTATGCACCATTTGCTGTTTAGGTTTTTATTAGCCAATAATGCCTCCTATAGGAGTATGTTACTGGAGCAATGTGGGTCAATACTGTCTTAGTTTTTATACTGAGTCCTTATTTACCATACTTAATTTGGAACATTCATTATGAGACTCAGAGATTTGAGAGTAAGTATAAATTAGATCTTTGTTGGTATCAATAATCCATTCAGGTATTGACAAATTTACTGATTTTTTTCACAAACAACAATGCTATATTGTAATAAATGAGTATAAATTTAATGTCTGTTTTGGACTTTGAATTTTATTGATTTTGAGATCTGGCATAAAGCATCGGTATGTGATCATCGCAAGGAACAAATCTTTTGACGGGCTTTTTTTTTGTTATATCACCTTCTGGTCATTCTGACATTTACAATTTTGAAGGCTATAATTCCAAAACAAATCACATGTTTCTAATTTTTACAAATAAAATAGGTGTGAGAAAATTGTGGCTATACTATAATTCCATATTCTTGATAGAATCTAGGACAGGAAACAATCAGTCACGCCTGAAATAAAAATTGCATTCTAAAGATTTTTCACTATTGTATCAGTATGCTGCCATTTTAATGTGAATTGAATACAATTCTTATGTCAAAATGTTGCAATCAATTTAGTCTGTTGGGATATACTGTTGATTTCTAAAGTGTTCATTTCTTCAAAATAGCCATTATACATGTGCCACGTAATTGCATAATTGAAATATAAAGTGTAGTTTACACTAACAAATACCATATGAGCAGCCGATCTACTACTATCAAATTGTGTGGTTGAAATGCACCTTTATTGGAGATGCGTTTTTTGTACAAATTATGTAGTAACTTGAACTAACAGAGTTCTTTGGTTGGAGAATCATATTTTTAATATCAACAAATCTGAATTTTTTTTTTAACTTGTTTCCAAACACTTACAGAGTATTAAGATAAGAATTTAACATAAATCCAATAACATACAATCACTTGTAGTGATTAGTTTAAGAACTCTTATTAAATATCCACTAGTGCCATAATAGAAAACATCAACTATACTATCTAAATTACTGACAAGTTCTTATATGGCCAGCAAATTGATTATTCTAAGCTGTAGTTCAAGTTCACATGTGCTTGACACTAACAATAATCCTAAGAAGTCAGATAGTTCTTCACAAGAATACCCAAGTTCAAGCCCAGGAATATCACTGCAGTCATACGTCGTAATAATTAATAATATAATCATTTCCATAATTTATCTATGAGATGTATAAGTCTATAATTTTGGTATTACAAACAAATATAGCAGTTGCCATCAAGTACAATTATTTGTTTTATGGTGTTGGTTGTTTTAACTGAGTACCAGATAAGGTAGTTTTGTTTAAGTTAACAATTGCATGCACAAACATGTTTCAAAATTAGTTTGCTGTAATTTAATTTTGTCAGAAATTACACAAAATGTAATAACATTAATATGCACATTTTACAATATCAAAAAATAACATAATTTATTGTTTCCACCCTCCTACATGTGTATTGAAAACAGTAATTTACAAATGTAGCCTCAATCTGTTATATACCATTTTGGTACATTTATATTGTAATATTTATAATTATGAATATAAAATAAGGCCTGTATTCACCAAATATGGCTAACATGATTCTCCATTATAAAAGAGGGCAGCGTACTGGGTATTACAGTTGCACTGTTAGCATAACATTATAATAAAACATCTTTTTTGTCATACAGCATGTTAATTTTCAAGTTTGCAAAAATGTTATTTAGTATTCTATAGTTGCACAAGTAATATAAATGAGCTTTTTTTTTTATATTTATTACAACACATGTCATGCATATGAAGGTGGAATTCATAATTCAATTTCTAAACATGTAACCAAATTGTGTTTGTTATTATTATTTAAATGTTTGAGTCCTTGATTTTCCAGTTACAATTTATATGACGACCTATTTGTATGAATTCCTAATTTCCCAGTTCAATGAAACATATTATTATATGTGAATAAGACCAATCAACTAATGACACATTTTTTAACATGCACATGCCACAAGTTATACACAACAATTAATTCCTTTTACTAGAAACAGTTAGTTATTGAGAGTGTCAATTGGTTTAGTTGAATATAATTGTGATCACTAACAAATAAACTGTTCCAACCGAAAATTTTAAAAGAGAAATGAATGGATAGTTGCAATTTTATTTTAGCATTAGAGACCTATTACACTGACTGAAGTTGGTTTTACTAATATTTACTTTGGTCTTAACTGTTGTCATTTGCTCGTGAAATACCAACACTCCCAGTAAAGAATGGCAACTGTGTACTGAAGTACATGCGGACGAAGAAGTTTTAACTCTATCCAGTTGATGGACACATACAAAAACTGTGCGAACTATTTAATTTTTCTAAACTAACCTTTGCGATTCCTTCTTCGTTTGCGTCTACTCTCTTTTGAAGTTGCATTTGTTGCCACATGTCAGAAACCGGCGTTGTTTTCTCCAATGACCGTGATCTTTCCATCAATTCTTCATTGCTGGGCAGGGAGTTAAGGGCATCGATTTGGTTTTCAAGTCGTGAAACTTTATCTTCAAGAACATGATAAACAGACCTTTTCGGAATGAGTGGAGTACTCCCTTTACCCTCTTCGTCTTTTATCTTTTCTTCGTCGGTTGTTGATGCGTTCGCAAGATTTTGGTTAGATCTCGCTTTTAACAGCAATTCTTTATCGGCTTCATCGATTTCAGCTTTGATATTACCAAGGTCCAAATGCTGTACCATTGCATGCAGTAACGTGTGTAGTACATTAAAATTGACAGCCCCGACTTCTGGCGACCCAAGGGCCAGGTCCACCATTTCGCCGAGTTTTAAGCTAGCCGACATGATGACGATGAAAGCTCTCGACAAAACTACTCAAAACGTGTCAATATTGCCACGAAGCCTGCTGTCACTATGCCGGTGGAGACTATTTACAATTTCTGTGTGATTATCCAGTCTGATGACCGTCTTCCTGTTTTCTCGCCGTCTGTTGATTCACGTGTATGGCGGCACGATATATCACTCCGCGCACGCACAAAACAGTTGAATTTTTTTTACATTTTTAGTAGAAACTCCTCAATATTCATTGAACTGTTATATTATATGATTTTCTTGCGCTTATTCACCCCTCTGTCTATGATAAATTTAAATAAGTTGTTTGATGTGTCAAATCAGAGAGTTATATTGTTTAGCACTAGGCGCATTAATACAATAGAATAGCAGGAAGCAAATAACTCGGCTCATAGCAACACCAAGCTTTCTGTTATTTACGTATGCAAATTTACGATAGTGTCCTAAACCAATCACAAATGGTATTTATTGTGACGTCCTGGATGTATGCACGCCCTCCCAATGAACTCTTACTCCCATGATTCCATGCAAAATCCAACATGGCTGCCTCCATGATAAATTTTGCCTTCTCGATTTCTGTCTTTCTGCGACAATAATTTATAGTTTCCAACGTCATCTTGGTGAGTACTCTGTTTTATATGGCACTTTAATATTTGTTTTTTTAAATTAAATTATAGGCATCGTCGCATTATCATTATCATTATCTGGTATTTTATTTAGTAAATTTGATCACGTACTGTTGGAGCTCATTTTTAGATCCTTCAATGGTCTGACACCCAGCTGGGGTTTCATCAGATGTGGAAATTACCACAGAAAATCCAAATCAATCAGTACAGAATTTATAAGGTAAGCACATGCAACTCGGATATCCATGTTTAGTGATATGCGGTTGTTAAAGCGCGGTGGTCGTCGCGCAGCGCGTGTTCGAATTTCATGTAAATAAACAATGTATTTTACACGCGTTGTATACGTCAAGTAAGCAAATAACACCGAATAAACTGCAAGGTAAAGACTATGTCTAATTATAGTAAATACGTACCGCGTGCGTGACTCGAACCGGCGCTCGCGTACGGCACCTAATCGCCTAGCTTCACGCCACTACACGTCTTCCCCTCGGCCACCAGTACATTATTATTATTATTATTATTATTATTATTATTATTATTATTATTATTATTATGAGTCCCATATCGAACAGGACGCGGCACGACGACTACCGCCCTTTAAGAACGCAGTTCTGACTGACTGCTTATACCATTTATTCAACCACGCAATTTCAACGTAAAACTGCAACAAGAAATATAACAATATACAATGAATACAATATAGGAAAATCGAAATTACATCGGATAACAAACGTATCAAAGTATAGAAAATCAGTCTATCGCGATACAGTACTGGTACCGGTAATACCATAGTGTGTATAATACAATAACTAAAAATAACTGTGACCAAACCAACTATACTCCATCACAGTAATAAATAGTAACCACAAAATACTGACTAATGTCAAAATAAGCACAGTGGATGTAAGGAAACCATATGGCTAAATATTACCAATAGCATGACAATACTGTACACATACTGGGTACATACGCTGGTAATAGCAAGTACACAATGTCAGATTAATACTACAAATGTCTAACAAAATGCTGTGCATAGATATACAAAATCACAATACTTGCCTACTACATAAGTGCATGTATACAACCTAACTATAATAGGAAATACGAATAGAACATGCTCGGTGGCTAGCTACTATTTATACCGGCATAAGAAATACGTGTGCTTTTGACAAATGCGTCATACAGTCTACCGATCGACGACTCATAGAACGATCATACGGCTACAAATTACACTGTGAAAAAAGTAACAATGGCTCGGAATAACAAACAATACACTAGTTCTACCAACCAGAGTTCCCGAGTACGTAAAAACATGGTAAAAGATACAAATACGTGTAGTTCCGATCTCACGCTGCATACACTATAAACAAACCGCCATAACGAATCTCACTGAAGTCTCATCGAAATCTCGTTAAAGTCACGTCCGTACAAGATCACGCAAAACTACGCGAGAGTTGAGCAAGGGTTAGCTTAAAATAAATTTAGAACTGTGTTCATTACATGGCTTCTCTGGATTGTGATAAACAATACAAACTTTAAAATACTTTCTACTAATTACTGGCTAACTTATACAAAAGCTAAAGTATCAAATTCAATAAACAAAGGTTAAAACTCTAGTAATCTAAACAGATTATAAATCTTGAATAAAGTTCAGTCATGGTTAAAACTGATCGCTTATAGTTCAGTTACTGGCTCCATCGACAGGGTTGTGCTTTGGTCTATACAATATGATGAGCTTTGTTACCAGCCGGTCATACAACGAATTGCATACCTTCCTTACTAATCCATCCTTACTTGGCAATGCTTCCATTACCATTGCACGTGGCCACTGACATCTTGGGGTATTCTCCTCGACGACAAGAACTATGTCTCCTTGCCATTTTTGTCTCGGCTGTAAGGTAGGTAAATATTCCAACCGCCATCTACGCCAAAATTCATTGGCAAGATACTGAACTCTGCACCATCTCTTTCTACAATATAAATCCTGACGTACAAAAGCACCTGGCAGAGGAAGAATAACCTTTGATTTCTGTGTGAGTAACTGACTTGGTGTAAGAGGTTCACCAGTATCTGTAGAAGACATATCTAGGTAGGTCAGTGGTCTGCTATTCACAATGGTTTCAGCCTCTGTCAAGAAGGTGATGAGAAGTTCATCATCTAACTGCTGACTCTGCTTTTCAAAAATTCCTGACAGAGCTGTTCTCACTGATTTTATAAGACGTTTCCAAACGCCACCCATATGACTTGCAAGTGGTATGTTAAATTTAAATTCTATCCAATCGGTGCCATCCTTGAGGAGCTCCTTCTGTATCTGGTTGTCAGCAAGGGCAGACTCAAGTTCACCTTTAGCTCCTACGAAGTTGGATCCTCTATCACATCTAAGACTTCCGACTGGTCTTCTACGGCATACAAATCTGCGATATGCATTCAGGAAGGAATCAGTGGTGAGTGAATAGGCAACTTTTATGTGTACTGCTCTAGATGTAAGGCATGTAAAGATAACGCCCCATCTTTTTTGATCACTTCGTCCTACTCGTGTATAGAAGGGACCAAAATAGTCAACACCGCTATAAGTGAATGGTGGATGTTCTGCTAAGCGGTCTTCTGGTATGTCTGACATCTTTTGTGCTACTGGTTTGCCACTGAGCTTCTTACATGGAATGCATTTCCAAAGGCAGGATGCTACTGCTACACGTGATTTCAAGATCCAATGTCCATTGGCTCGTATTCCATTTAACGTGTGTGTTCTACCTGCATGCGCTGTACTCTCGTGGTGGTGTCTTACTAATACTGAAGTTATATGAGATCTAGTTGGCAACACAACTGGATGCTTAAGATTAGGTGCATGATTTACTCTCCATACTCTGCCGCCAACATGTATCAAAACATCAGGAGCAATTTGGATCCAATTTGCGCAACGGACTGTTGATTTTCAAACTTGATAGTTTCTTTGACAAACTATGATGCTCTTCTGCAAAATGTGCAGCCTGCAGTTCTTTTAGAATTATTTGTTCTGCATGCTGGAGCTCTTCAACTGTTATCGGTGATACTGATACCAATGATATGCTTCTGGAACGAAGTCTTTGCATATATCTGATACACAGTGCTACAGATTTCTTCATTCTGTGCCAATCTGAGAAATAATCAAGCCTTTGTAAGAGGCTGGCTGGCTCAGTTTTGATACTTTGTGTAGATACATGTAAGACAACAGACTTCTTCACTTCAGGATCATCTGTATCTAATGCAGTATGTTCACCATAATTCATGGTTTAACCTCTTGGTGGAACATCTGCTGGGTTAGATTTAGAATCGATATGGTTCCATTGTAAGACTTCAGTATGATTTCTTATCTGTTGTATGCGATTTGCTACAAAGATATGAAACTTGCGTGCGGCATTGGAAATGTAACCCATTACAACTATACTGAAAATATATTTGGCATCATAATCTAACTCGCGTTTCAGGAATTCACTAATTTTCACAGCAGTGACTGCAGCTGTGAGCTCTAGTCTGGGTATGGTTAGTTGTTTCGTAGGAGTTACACGAGATTTAGCCATCAACAAGGTGCTATAAATCTTACTATTCAAATCAACAATGCGTAGATATGAACAGCTGCCATATCCATTCTGTGATGCATCTGAGAAGTGATGCAACTCTCTCACAATTGGCTCCTGCAAACTTTCTGGTTTCTCGCATCTTGGTATGTAAAACAGTGCCAATGCAGGTAACTGGTTTCTCCATTTAGACCATTGTATACATATTTCACCAGGAACTGGATCATCCCAGTGATGTCCATCCCGGCAAAGACTCTGCAGTAGCATGGCGAGATAAAACCCAATGGGTCAAAGATTGATGCTACTGTGCATAAGATACCTTTACGAGTGAGTGGATTATCATCATTCTCAACACACCATGTGATACCTAGAGTTCTTGAAATTGGTAATTGTTCATTCAGGAAGTTGAAAGACTGGATGTCTTTGGCACGATACTCTGGTGGAATTGTTGTCAACACCTCTTTATTAGTGGATAAGAATTTATTAAGTTTAAATCTTCCTTTACCACAAAGACTAGTACTATCCTTGAACAACTGTATTGCTTGTTGTGCTGTCATTACAGACTTGATACCATCATCTACGAAGAAAGTCAGCGCCCAATTTTCCACACTGTGCTTCAAATAAGTCTGCTGTGAGACGTAATGCAAAGTTGGCTACTCCAGGTGAAGAGGTGGCCCCAAAAAGATGAACTCTCATACGGTATTCTACTATAGGACCTTCAATGTTACTGCCCTCAAACCATAGGAATCGAAGATAGTCTCTATGTGGTGGGCTTACTAATACCTGGTGGAACATTCCCTCTATGTCGCATACTACAGTACTGCAATCGGTTCCTCACGAAAGCAACATAATACTCCTATCAAACTATTCAACTGATCTGGACCACTAAGTAGACACTGGTTCAGACTGATTCTTTTATATTCACTGCTACAGTTGAAAACAACTCTGAGCTTATCCAGTTTCTTGGGGTGGTATACCCCGTGATGTGGTATATACCATACTGTGTCCTTCTCTATCTCAGTAGCTGGGACCTTTTCTGCATAAGATTTCTGGATCATATCTTTCATGCTCGTAATGTAATGGTCTCGATACTGTACATTTCTGCCTAACTTCTTCTGTAAGCCTAAAAGACATCCAAGAGCAACACTACGATTATTGGGAAGGCTTATCTCATCTGTCTTGAATGGTAGGGGAAATACAAAATGCCCATCTTCATTCTGTAAAGTGTTCTCTTGCAAAATCTTCAGAAAGCGGAAGTCTTCCAATGACATCTTGTCATCTCCATGACGCTCATGAAATTCAAGTTCCATCATACTTCTCACTTCTTCAGTAGTCACCTTACGTGCTCTTGTGCAATAAGCAAAACAACATGTCTTTGTTGTGGCCTTGGCATTCTTCACTGGTCCAGTGACACCCCATCCCAAGTTTGTTCTGGTTGCATATGGTTCATTGTCACCAGCAATGCTAATTTCCTTTGGAATCATAGCTTCAGGACAGTTGAAACCAATTAACAGTCCCACATCTACCTTACTATCATATGGTTCTAACTGTTTAGTGACTTCATGTAGGTGTGGCCAAATAGCTACACTTTCTGGGGTGGCAATCTGTGTTCTCTCAGTAAGAATCTCACTTCGGGTAAAGACTAAATGAAGCAGTACAGTGATTCCTTCTGATCTACATGACTGAACATTGAAACCTGTTGCCACACAAGTTGTTACAACCTTTTTTGCCAACATTGTTGTCAACTCGAGTTTAGAATGTCTGGTTGGTACATCAAACTTCTCTAGTTATGAGTCAGATATAAAACAGGCATTTGACTGGTTATCCAGTACAGCATATGTCTTCACTCGGTGTGCAGGATCATTCTCATGACAAATAAAGACTGGAATCACCATAGAATGATACTCTGATTCTTCAAACTCTATCTGCTTAGTATTAATTTTTGTCTTCATTGATACTGCATTCTTTTGCATGGATACATTGGGTTTACTTTATGTGTCAGAATTTTTCTGACGTTTAGACTGACCTAGCTGATTGTGTACAACTTTCTTAGAACTAGACTGAGAATCTGGTGTCCTACACAGTGATGAATACTTCCTTCTTCTACATTCCCTGTAACGATGACCTCTGTTCAGACATCCAAAACATAATCTGTTATCTACAACAAATGTCTTACGGTCTTCCACTGACAGAGTAAGAAATTGCTGACAGCTACTTAAATGATGAGACTCCTTACATTTAATACAACTGGGGTCTTCTCTTTAACATCATTTTCGATTGAAGTTTGCTCTGAAGACTTAATGTATACTT